TGAGATTCTGACACGTCCCTCCCCTCACCAAAAATCTTCTCACCCCTCCGTCTCTCCATTCACGCAGGTGCGAGGGGTGAACGAGCTGTGGATCGCGGTGGCACTCTCGCACCCCTCCCCCCCACCCATGTCGTGAGCTGCCTCTGAACGTCCCTCCCCTCACCAAAACTCTTCTCACCCCTCTGTCTCTCCATTCACGCAGGTGCGAGGGGTGAACGAGTTGTGGATCGCGGTGGCACTCTCGCACCCCTCCCTCCCGCGCCTCTCTCCACCGGCCATAGCGGGGTGCTGCGCTGCTCTGGTGTCTGAAGGCATGCGCATGCGTACAGGCGACGGCAGGTGAGTCATTGTGGTGGGTTCTGAAGGCATGCACATACGTACGGGAGACAGCAGCAGGTGAGTCATTGTGGTGGGTTCTGAAGGCATGCACATACGTACGGGAGACAGCAGCAGGTGAGTCATTGTGGTGGGTTCTGAAGGCATGCACATACGACGGGAGACAGCAGCAGGTGAGTCATTGTGGTGGGTTCTGAAGGCATGCACATGCGTACGGGAGACAGCAGCAGGTGACGGGTGTTAGTGCAGAGGTGAGAAATGTCAGGTGTCAACCATAAACCCTCCCTCGTTCTCCCGTTTTGCCCATTCCCTTTTGTTGCACCCTAACACCCACCCTGCCAGTTCACCCTCCTTCCCCTACAAGCCGTCCTGGCAGGTGCGGGAGTGAGTGTGTGAGGCATGGTCTGAGACGCCACGTGTAGAAAGTAGATTTTTGAGACGTCTCAAAAATCTACTTTCTACATGCGGGAGTGGGTGTGTGAGGCATGGTCTGAGACGTATTTTGAGGCGCCTCAAAATACGCCTCAATGCACGCAGGTGCGGGAGTGGGCGTGTGAAGCATGGTCTGAGACGTCTCACAACTTGTCCTCCACATGTGCCCTCTCCCTTATGCCCTTGCCTTTCATATCATCCTTGGTCTCAACTCCTCCTCCCCCCACCCTCCAGTTCGCCCTCCTTCCCTTATGAGCCTTCCTGGGATGTGCAGGAGTGGGTGTATGTGCGGGTTTGTTTCGAGTCGATCCAGAACTTGCTTTTCGCATCTGCCCTATCCCTTATGCCGTGCCCTTTGGTCTCACTTACCCCTTCTCCCCACCCTCGCCCCGCCAGTTCGCCCTCCTTCCCGTACGAGCCTTCCTGGGAGGTGCAAGAGTGGGTGTACGAAGCTGAAGAGCGCCGTGATTGGCTGATGCAGCTCCAGCTGGCTGCCAACGTGGCAATCCCTGCTGACCTGGACGCGCAGTTCGCTGGAGTGGTGGAGGCGTGGGCGCAGGGTGTGACGTGGCGCCAGCTCATCACTGACTGTGCAGGGCTGGACGAGGGGGACATTGCGCGGCTGCTAAGGCGCACCATTGATATACTTTCTCAGGTTTGTTGTGCCACTTCATTGCTCCAGCCAACTACCGTCTCCCAAAGATCATCTCAATCTATCACGAGCATCATTGCCCCATGTAAAGCATCATCTCTCTGCTTCCGGATGCCTTGTCACATGCCCTACCTCTCTCACTCTCCTCCATGTCCCCACTCTCCCTTTCTCCCACCCTCGCTCGCTCCTCTTATTGCATCACGTTATCCCTGCCTCCGCCTTTTCCACCTCTCTCCTCCTCTCCTGGTGTACACTCCTAATGCAGATCCCGTATCTTCCAGGCATCGATCCCTCATTGGCCAAGGCGGCAAAGCAGTCTGCGTATGTCATGGAGAGGCCACCTATCTCCGAGCTCATTGGCTGAGCATCATGTTGTAACTGCAGCACAGTTCTCAGAGATTCGGCAGCTCAATTCTAGGTTCTAGGTTCTCAGTCCGGCTTTGTGCAGTAGTGTACATTTTATGAGAGGTGAATGCTTTTGTTTAATGTGCTATGCTGATGATAGAATCGATTAATCGATTAATGTTCACTGATCGAGAACCTCTCAGCTGCAAGGGCAGCAAGTGGTGGCTGGACCCACTTTGGTGTGTTGGTGTGCATATGCTACCTACAAAATCTTACACTCTCTGAACGACTGTAACATTAAGTACAACTGAACGACCTCTGATTCGCTCGCAACCAGATCGTGAGGTAACCTGCCCTAATACTGCTGCTTCGCGATGCACCCCCTTGCTCCCTCCCAGCCCTGCCCGTCACAGAGCTCCGCAACGAAGCGGGCACGAAATTTCACGGGATACCACACTGGGCAAAGGCCATCTCTTTCCCAATTTTCCACGCGTTTTTGCTAAGTTGCAAGCGGCTGGCGAAGCACCACCTCGATTCGCAGAGTACCACGCGAATTCGCGAAACAATATCCGGAATCGCGAAACACCGCTCATTCGCGAAAAAACACGCGAATTCCCGAAGCACCACGCGGATTCGCAAACCTGCTCGGTCCGAGCTAACCAGAGCTTTCTCGTTGCATCTCGACAGTCCGAGGTGGTTCTAGAACCACCGTCATCATTCATGCCACTTCTATAAATACAATTGGCGAGTGACGGAGCCATCATTCAAAAACCTGAAACACCTTCAGCTACTTTCATACCAGCTCACGACGAACTCAAAGCTTAAGACGAACTCAAAGCTTTAGACGAACTCTTATTTTCAAATTCGTACCAGCTTCGCCAGCACCTCATTGGATAGAAGGTCTTCAGAGAATGGCATTCGGTATGTCAGATCTGCTTTTCGAGCGACAGCAACCTCACCTTCTCGCATCGTCTTACCCGACCCATTATCAGTCCCAACCGTCACCTTGGAACTTTGCCTCCTCTTCGTCTCCGCTTTTTGGCGATCCGTTCCTATTCGACAACGGTTTTGACTCATCAGCTGGGAATATGACGCAGAGACGACGCAATGACACACGGAAACATGAGATTGCGCGGAAGCAGCAAGCGCACGAGCTTGACGCGCGAAGGAATGCACCGTACGCGCGAGGGGCGCAGCACGACGTGAATGAGACAAAGATTCGACAATCACAGCACCAGGAGCAAGCAGCTGCCCATCAAATACCCGTCCAGCACCCAGCAAACAATAGTAGCAAGCGCCCCGAGACGCCGGCAGCGTCGCCAATGGCGGGCGTCGCCGGAATTCCTGCTGCTGAAATCGCTCGCGTATCGTCATTATCGGCTGACGATGCTGCTCGGAAGTTGCAAGCAGTATGGCGGGGCTATTCTGTGCGCCAAGGCAAGCCTCTCGAACTGGCTCGGTCCATAGCTGACGTTCGGAAACTGGTTCACGAGATGGACGCGCAGCTTCGGGATAACGAATTCGTGGCTAAGATGGTTTCCGACCCTATGGGAAAGCTTCGGGTGAGCGAGACGATCATGAGCTGGCTGTTTCGGTTGGACGAGGTGCAGTCCCCGAACCAGGACGTTCGGAACTTGCGTCGGGACATGGCCAGGAGGCTGACGAAGTTGCTAGACAGGGTCGACATTCTCACAAATACTCAACCACAGGAGGCTGAGGCTCCCCTTGAAGTTCCTGTTGACGCGGGTGTTACAACAATGGGTGATGCAGGAATGGATGTAGACCCACCGTGTGAGGATTCCTGCCATTGTGGCAGTCAATGCAGCGACAAGAGATGTGTGAGCTGCGAGAGCTCTGATGTTGCCAGAAGCACGCATCAGGTGGGGAGAGTGGCTAAGAGGCAAAAGCAGAGGCACTGGAGGGACGCCTTGTGGCAGTGGAAGGAGAGAATGGCTGGGAAGCGAGGTGGTGCATGCTAGTAGCCTAGAACTGTAAATATTTGTACATCACAAAACCCCTGGTTGCGCAAAGCACACGCGAGGGAATTAGGAGATGTACATAGTACTGTAATTATAAAATATATATCATGAGCTGTTTTTGCGCGTCTGGATTACATCTGAATATTCGGATCATAGTGATTTCTGTGTTTGAAACTGCAAGAGCACTGCTGCTTCTACGACGGTGATTCACATAGCCATGGTCTTTTAGTGAGTTTCTTTTCCCCATCTTGGCCACCGACCAGGAAAGCAGTGTTGACATTCTGACGGAACCAAGCCGCGTCTCACGCTTTCATACAACCACAGTCCATTCGTTGATGGACACATAAGACCTATCTTTGATTCGTGTCGACCGCGATACGTGTGTTTCTTTATGTAGGGTACGATATGTCGGTGATTACAGTATGTACTTTACCCAACAAACTCCCCTAAAGAATGCTCACAGACACTTAGCTAGACGCACTATAAGCGCGCATCTTCTCCACCCAGTAAACCTGTTTGGGCACCAATGACACGTGCTTGTTACCTATGCGACCGTGCTGCGTTTACTGCAGCACACGCAGGAAGGAGGTTCCCGTAGCCTGACGTGGCGACTTCTACGAGTCGATTGGTTGATCCACCCAGATGGCGACATCGTTTTGCATGTCGTCGCGGCTCGTCATAGCCCAACGAAGGCCGCTGGCTAGTTCGCCACAAGCTCGTCAAAGCTGCTCAACCAAGCTGCGATGAGCTGGCAGCTGTTTCGCGACACCCGCTTCCCCCCTTCTCCCCATCTCCCTCCCCCACACACGCCTTCCTCATCCTCCACCTCCCACGCTCGTGCCTCGCCTGATTCCTCCCCCTCCTCTCTGTCTCTGGTTTACGGCTCTCGTTGACCCGTCGTTTATAAGTTCGTAGAAAATGTAGAACACGATCACAGCATCGCTCAAGCATACTCGTCACTAACGCCTCCCAACTGCCTCGCACCCGACCAGATAGCGCGAACGCCACGCTACGCCGCCCACCACGGTCCACGCTTCCCTCCCGCCACCACTATCACTGAGCCTTTCGGTCCGAGAAACCACGTTGAGCCGTATCCAACTCCTCACCCGCCCCTTGCCGCTTCGATCAATTTGTCATATTTTCGTGAAGATTGACTCCACTTGTCGAATCGCGTCGCCTATTCGCCGCGCTCGCGTCGCCTCTCGTCGCCTCCAGTCGCCTCTGGTCGCCTCTGATCGCCTCCGATCGCCGTATCCATGGCCCGCCTTCTCGCGCTTTCCCTGCTCGCTCTCAGCTGCGTGCTGCTCCTCGCGTCGCAGGCTGTCGCCACGCGCGTCGAACCGTCGTCGCAGAGCCCTCGTGCGCCGTCATTCGCGACGAACATTCGCCGCCAGCTGCTGTTCGGCCGCTTCAGCTGCGGCAGGTCGAACCTCAAGGGATACACGTCCAAGGCCGGTCTCTCATCCGGGTAAGAGCAGATGGCAGATTGCGGCCTCAGTAACGGACAGCATGGGTTTTGAGTCGACTCAAAAGTCGAACCTCAAGGGATACACTGCTTCGGAACAGCGGCCCGCTGGAATGGCGGCCGTCGTGTCGCGCGAGCTGGATCACTGAGCTCCGGCGTGCGACTTCCGCATTCCACCCGCTTTCGCCGCCCACATCCTCGCGCATTCCCTCATCCCCGCGAATTCCCCCTCCCCGCGAATTCCCCCTTCCCCCCCCGCATTCCTCCATCCCCGCGCATGTCACTCCCCCCGGCAGGCTGCTGCTGCACTTGAAGGCCACCAAGGGACGGACAGTGCAATGGCCGTGATAGCATGCCGCAGGGTGGTTCGCCGTTGGCTTCTCGCTGCCCCATCCTCCGGCCTCCTTCCTCATCCCCCTCGCTCCACCCGCTTCCTCATCCCCCTCGCTCCACCCGCTTCCTCATCCCCCTCGCTCCACCCGCTTCCTCATCCCCCTCTCAGGCTGGTGCTGCACTGGAAGGCCACCAAGGGGCAGACAATCAAGATGGCCGTGGTGGCATCGGTAGCCAAGGCGGCGGGGTGGTTCGCCGTGGGCTTCCCATTTTCTTAGAACGCTCTCCGCCCTCCATCCTCATCCCCATCCCTCCACCCGCTTCTGCCCCCTTCCTACCCGCACATCCCCCCTCCCCCGCACATCCCCCCCTCCCCGCGCCCCCTGGCAGGCTGGTGCTGCACTGGAAGGCCACCAAGGGGCGGACAATCAAGATGGCCGTGGTGGCATCAGGGGCCAAGGCTGCTGGGTGGTTCGCCGTGGGCTTTTCGCCTAATGGCGGCATGTCGGGCAGCAACGCCATCGCCACTGACTCCTCGGGCAGCCCGGTGACAAAAGATCTCGTCGGGCAGTCATCGGCGGACGATGCGGCGTGGACCGTCGGATCGGGCTCGATCTCCACGTCTAGTGGCAAGGTCACTATGAAGTAAGCAATGTGGTGTGCTCTTGAATATGGAGTTTCCCTCGTTCTCAGATCCCTCGTAAGTCCCCTCGTTGTAGGCACTCTCGCCATAAGTTCAGTCGTTCATGGTTTCCTTGTGAATTTTATTCTTGTCCTTCAGCTGCCTTGTTGGCGCTCTTTACCACTCTCCCACCCATATGCCTTCATATAACGAGGGTTATATTTGAGGCTCAGCGGAGGCACTCAGCCCTTACGTATAAGCCCCACAGGCGTAGCACTCTCCCTCTCTCTTTCTCCACTATCTCTCTAGATCTTTCATTTGATTGCTCACCATCTTCTCACCTGTCCCCACCTGTTCCACCACTCTTCACACCAGGTTCACGAAGAACAAGGGCGATGGGGCATCGGTGAAGGTTAAGGCTGACAACGACAACAACATTGTGTGGGCGTTTGGCGATGGGGATACTGTCTCAATGCACAATGGAGCGTAAGTGTACCTTCCAAGTATCTCTCTATGCCGTCCGGCGTGCGAGTGTATGCAAGTATGCATCATGCTGTGTTGCTTCATTCTTGAGGTTTTTTCCGCTTTTTTCGCTGCATGAGACGTGGGATTTGATGCGCTCGGAACATTTTGTTGATATTCAAGTAAGCATCTGTTGCTTGTGTTCTCTGTGTGGCGTGTGGTGCGCAGTGGTAAGGCAAGCATCAACTTCGCCTGCGGGTGCCCGATGTTCCAGAGCAAGTGCTAAGCAGCTGCAAGTGGTAATGGAAGCCAGCAGGCGGGGAGCTCTGTGAATGGTGCTGAGAATGGGAGAGAGACCCATGTTGTAGTACATGCATAGGCATGGATGCGTTCAGAGTGGATGCATGCTCAAACTGATGAATCCTCCTGCCTGGACGTACTGTAGTTTGAGTATGAAGCCTGTACTCTGAAACACATCCTGAGGATGTTGTATGAATATTATGGTGCCATTTGCTTGTACCGTGTTGAGATGTGTGCACTTAGCATGAATCAGACCAGCTCTATTGTCTGAAAAGATGGGAGAGAGGCTTAAGCACTGGAAAAGGTGCCCCAAAACCCTGAAAGACAGCAACACCTCTCCATCCTCCTCCTACTCTTCCTCTTTCCCACCTTCTCCCTCCTCGCCATCCTCCTCACCGTCCTACGTGGCAGTCATTAGTGAGGATTTCCATTGGTACACCCTCCCGTCTCCCTGCATCAGCCAGGTAATCAGAGTGCAGTACCGTCTTTTCCCGGATATAGGACCCTCTGGTAAGAGAGTCCCCCGGGTCTTATATGCGGGGGGTTGATAAGGGGATCAGGAAATTGGAATTCGGGAGCGGCAGGAAATTCATTACCCAGCAGCATGGAAAGCGAATCACAATCCGCCACGTGGCTCTTCACTCACCCTACATTCAGCGTGTGGCGAATCAAACCCAAACAACCCATCCTCCACCTCACTTCCGCCATCCACTTCCCCCAAGGCTAGTCCCCCATCCCCCCCCTCTCCCTCCATGATGACTCCAACCATCTCTTCGTCCCAAATTTGCTCATGCCACTCGGGGAGATTGCTGCTAAGGTGAGAAGCGACATGGCCTAGTGAATCAGGTGTTTTTTTCAGGTGTGGATAGTGGGACAGGTGTTTGTTCAGGTGGTGCCACATGTGTTGGCTCAGCTGATGTACGGTGGTGGGACTATGGGGATGTGGAAAGAGGTAACTCACCCCTTGCATGCTGCAGGGACCAGTGGTAACTGCCAAGGTAGGCTTCGTTTCGTCCATGTTACATCTTGTCACCCCTTATCCCCTGGTTCACGTGTGTGTGGAGTGCAATCAACGGGTTGTGAGTTGAGTGCAATCGACGGGTTGTGATTTGAATGCAACCAACGGGTTGTGAGTTGAGTCCAATCAACAGGTTGTGAGTTCTCTTCCACCCCTCACTCCTGTCCATGCATAGTGCCGGTTCTCCTCCACCCTTCGCTCCCGTCCATGCATAGCGCTGGTTCTCCTAGAAGGCCCTTCGTTAGAATAAGCGGTCGATATAGCACACTATGATTTTCAGGAATGTAAGCAAAGCAAGCTGACTACGGCCGCTTGAGCAGAGGCTCGAGCCTCGACCTCAAAGGCCGTACGGTTCTTGGCAATGAGGGCGTTGGGTTTGGCACCCTGTAGCATGATGAACCATCATTGACGGTAAGAATGGTACAGCTTCATGGCCTCCCGTGAGGTCGGCTCAGCGTTGTGCAACCTCTTCCCTACCATTTTGGCGCAAAGTCGGATGAAATTGAGCACTCCCACTGAGTGGTACCTGTAAGTCTCCACTGCCATTGTCAGAAGCACACCCATGCAAACCGTGCCGCCCGTGCTGCAATGGATGTTGCCCAATCCACGGCCCGTCTCGCAGTCGGATCGGGGTGAGATAGCGTCGGTAAGTGTCATGTCACACAGCCATACCGCCCCCGATTCTGGGTGCCTAATGGCTAAGTCCGCCTTCAAGCCCTCCACTGGCTTGTATAGAGTTCCAACTACACTGCGAATCCCTCTTCTTTTGCGAGGTGACTTTGAGTCGAATCAAAAGTCGCCTCGGCCACACTCGTTGCAGAGTGCATGGTGGGTCCCGGTGCGCCCTTACCCAGCTCCGTAACGAAGGAGGTGGTTTGGGAGGCGTGTGTCCATAATCTTTGTCCTGTCCAGAATGATTGTTGCAATCACAACAGCTAGACAACAGTGGCGGCAGCCCCAGGCGGAATGCATCCACAGATGCGAAGGGGGGGCAGTCATGCGGTGGGATTTGGAAAGGGGGATGGACGTGAGCCAGTCCCTAGCTTCCAGGTCGAGGAGTGATTGGAGGCGTTGGGTGTTGCCTCAGAGGGGGTTCATGGCCAGCTTCCGCCTTTCCCCCAGGCGTCAGCGAAGTGGGCCACCTGCATATGGAGGGAGATGAAGCGTTGGATTTAGGTTTGCTCCTCCCCTTCCCGTAAGCGAGGCACGAGGTCGAGGGCCTCGATAGGCAGGGTGGCCTCCGCCGAGGCTATGCGGCGTGGGAGGGTGGAGCTAATGGTATTGTTGGCGCCAAAAAAGGGGAGGAGTGCGGACGACACCAATGGCTATGCTGCACAGTGCAACTATTTTTGGGTGAGTGGCGTTTGTGCATCAGCCGAGCAGGTGCTCGGAGGCTGTCGCTAAAGCAAGGTAATGCGGAAAGCACTCAACTGTGGGGTCGGGAGGCCAAATATTCTCCTCTCTCTCCTCTGCACGCAGATGCGAGACGTGAACGAGCTGTGGATCGCGGTGGCGATCTCACACCCCTCCCTCCAGCGCCTCTCTCCCATGGACATTGCGAGGTGTTGCACTGCTCTGGTGTCTGAAGGCATGCGCATGCATACGGGCAACGGTAGGTGAGGCATAACGTATGCTGAGAGAAGCAGGGCTGGGGAGGGGTGGCAGTGGCATATGAGGGAAAGATGGCATGTGTCACCTAGTGTCTAAAGGTATACGAGTGCGCACAGGCAACAACAGGTGAGGGGTGGGATTGACATTGCACATATGCATGAGAAAAGGGGATGCCAAGTGGGCAGTGGCAGTGCAGAGGGGAGAAAGGTGCAGAATGCAGAGGGGAGCAAGGGGCACGTGTCACCCCTCCCTCCTGCGCCTCTCTCCACTAACCATTGCTGGGTGTTGTGCTGCTTTGGTATTTGAAGGCATATGCGTGCGCACAAGCGACAACATGTGAGGGCTGGGAGTGACAGAAGGGCATACACGCTAGGTGAGGGGTGGCGGTAGCATCGGGGGCAGACGAAACAAATCGCCACCTGATGCCTAAAAGCATGCACATACGCACAGGTGACGGCAAGTGAGGAGTGGCATTGGGGAAAACAAGGGCAAGTGAGCAGCTGTGTGATTTGGGGAAGCTGGGCAGGGAGGTGATGTAACTGTTATTCGGCTCACCTGGTGGGGGAAATGGGAGCACATGCGCAAGGGGAAGCAGTGAGGAGGAGTTGAAGTGGGGGTGAGGAGTAGCAGTAAGGATGAGGAGTGGCGGTGAGATTGACGAGTGGTAGTGAGGGTGAGGAGTGGGATGGAAAGGGCAGCAACGTCACAATTATGTCAGGAGTACTTGCTCTCCCATTTTCCCTAACCCTTACGCCCTACCCTTTTGCCTCGCCCTTGGTCTCACCCCTCCTTCCCATCCCCCCCCTCGGCCAGTTCGCCCTCCTTCCCCTACTAGCCCTCCCGGGAGGTGCATGGGTGGGTTTACAAGGCCGAGGAGCGCCGTGATTGGCTGATGCAGCTCCAGCTAGCTGCCAACGTGGCAATCCCTGCTGACCTGGACGTGCAGTTCGCTAGAGTGTTGGTGGCATGGGCACAAGGTGTGACGTGGCGACCGCTCATCGCTGACTGTGCAGGGCTGGACTAGGGGGATGTTGCGCGGCTGCTTAGGAGAACCATTGATCTGCTCTCTGAGGCTTGTGCCACCATTGATCAGCTCTCTTAGGTTTATTGCAACCACCATCTCACCATCTGCTAAGGGGCACCATTAATCTCCCTCAGTTTGAGCCATGTCATTGATCCAACCAAATCAAATATAAACTCTCTTTATCACAAGCATCATTGCCCTATCTAATAGACTATCTTTGTGTTTCTAATATATTTTTATTGCAATGACCACCGCACCATCTGCTAAGGGGCACCTTTGATCTCTCTGTGGTTGGAGCCGCGTCATTGATTCAACCAAATCCAAAATAAACTCTCTCTATCACAAGCATCATTACCCCATCTATTACATCAATATGTGTTTCTAAAATGCCTTGTCAGATGCCCTATCTCACTCACTCTCCATGCCCCCACTCTCCCACCCACCCTCGCTCCTCTCCCTCTCTCGCTTCTTTGGCATCCAGATCCCATATGTTCCTGGGATTAAACCCTCTTTGGCTAAGGCGGCAAAGCAGTTCGCGGATGTCATGGAGCGACCGCCTATCTCGGAGCTCACTGGTTGAGCGTTATGTGTTAACCGCAGCACAGTGCTCCCTGCATCTCATTTCTAGGTTTCGAAGTGATGTGTAGGCATGTTCATCCGCTTTGTGTAGAGTAGATTGTACATTTGTTTAAAACCCGCTGGCCAATTATTTCAACCTCAGGAAGGCTGGTTGGGAATGAAAACCCGATTGGTCGGCGAACTAAAGAAGTGTCGAGATACATTGACGTGCTTCGCGCGATACAGTCTTGGTTCGCCAAAGTTACATGGGTTGAAATGCGACATGAACACAATCGCCGGATATCAGTCGCACGAAGCCTAAAGCGACGACTCACACCAACCTTTCTCTCAATCTCAATTTCCAACCCCATGTCACTGCATTACCATGGAGTACCACACCCCCCCAACTCGTAGCTAGAAAGCTTAGCTCAGAGCGCGGGCAAAGCCCCATCGTCAAGTACGGAAGGGCGTACAGTGATAACGTACAGAAACCACGCACGACATTATTTCCAATCGCCTCAAAATCGAAACCGTGGAAAACCCCCTCCTCGAAAACGCCCGTTAGTACGAGAGTTGGCATGCCGCGATTCCCGAGTATGCCTTCGCATGTAGGGTATGAACGTGCGACGAGGTCACCACGCCCCGACTGGACATTTACAGCGTCACGATTAACCTACGCACGCGCCACAGTTACCATTCCCTCACGCCGCGATTCACACAAACCTCACGCCCGCTTTGAATGTCACCACGCACGGCTATATTTCCCGCAGTGTCG